TAGAGATGAAAACAACCAAATGCTCCCTATTTCTTGGGCAGTTGTTGAGGTTGAGAATCAGTATACCTGGACATGGTTTCTTGAACTAATGAACAATGATCTTGAAATTGGAGAAGGGCACCAACTATCCATCATTAGTGATATGCAAAAGGTAATTACTGATATCCATCTTACTATTTTATTGTTGTTGAGTTTTGCACTTTAATTTATTATTTTTCTGTTATGTTGGTTTGTTAGGCACTAGAAATTATTGTGGATACTTTATTGCCACTTGTTGAACACAGAAAATGTGCAAGACATGTTCTTACAAATTGGTCAAAAAGTTGGAAAGGAGTTGAAGGAAGAAGAGTGTTTTGGAGGATTTCTAAATTCACATTTGAAGCTGAGATGAAGGACAATATAGAGACAATGAGGAAATTAGGACAAGAAGGTTTGGATAATCTTTTATGGTACAATTTCAATACATGGTGCAAGAAGTATTTTGAAGAATATAGCAAATGTGATGTTGTGGACAACAATATGGCAGAAAGCTTTAATGCTTGGATAGTGTCTGCAAGGTATAAAACCATCATTACAATGCTTGAGGAGATAAGGGTGAAGATGATGAAAAGATTTGGCGATTTGAGAGAGTTCTTAAACACTTGGATCACTAATATATCTCTTATTTCTTTGAAGATTTTGCAAGAAAACATTCAAAAGTCTATGCAATGTAACTTGACTTGGAATGGAGAAAGAGGTTTTGAGATTAAACACCATCGATTTCCAAGCACTGTGGACATTATTAATAGGAGGTGTAGTTGCAGATCCTGGAAGCTCAGGGGAATTCCTTGTCCTCATGGTGTTGCTGCCCTTCATTACAAAAATTTGGAACCAATCCATTATGTGGCTAGCTGTTATAGCAAGGAGACCTACCTCAACACATATGCCCATTTTATTCAGCTAATGAATAACATGAAATTGTGGCCAACCTCAAATAATCTGACTGTAAAGCCACCAAAGATCATAAAGTTGCCTGGAAGACCAGGTAAGGTTAGAAGAAAAAAAGCAGATGAAAGCAGAAAAACTGGAAAGTTGAGCAAAAGAGGTGCTGTAATAACTTGTAGCAAATGCGGCACACAAGGACACAATAAAAGAGGATGTCCTACAAGAAACCAAGCTGGTCCAAGTCAATCAACTGAACCATGTTCTCAGGCAAGAAGTACTGGTCCAAGTCAGTCATCTGAATCATTTTCTCAGACACGAGTACTTTTATTTGTTACTCTCAAACGTATGTTATATGTGGATGTATATGTATTGATATATTAATATACAGGCTACTGAAAGTGGTAGAGAAAAAGGCACAGGAAGAGAAACAAGAAGAAGAGCAACAAGAGGAAGAGCAAGTGGCAGAGGTGTTCCAGCTCAATCACATGGAAATGTTATAAACACAAAGGTAATATATCTAATTATTATATCATTGTCAGATAATATAAATATGCTTTAATATTTTTATCTCAAAGTTCAGACTGTAAATGGTAGAGGTAGAGCTAGAGGTACAGGTAGAGGAGCAAGATCAGAGAGAGAAATGGCTCAAGAAAGAAATGTGAATGAAGGACTAAGTAGAGGAAGAGGAATGACTCAACATAGTCAAACTAGTTCTAAAGCAAACTGCAGTGGAGGAGGCTTAGGAAGAGGGAAGAGACCAGTAGAACATGAGGACACCAGTGGAGGACAAACAAGACCTTTTAAAAGGCCAAGAATGGTAGGTGTTGCAATATGCCAAGCTGAAGATGAATTTACAACTCTCAATGTAAGTTTACAACTATCAATGCAAGTTTACAATTGTCATTGCAAACCTAATTGTCTAATATTTGAGTGTGTATTTATTTGACTAAGCAGCCTGGATTGCCAAGTAGAAGAGTCATCAATACTGGTACAAAAATTACAAAGAGGGATGATGTTGTCACTGGTGATATTGACTACACACCAGTACGTGGATTCAAATGGAAGGGGAAAAAACTATTACCAGTAGCAACCTAGAAAGAATGAGGGCTGAAAAGGTTATCCAAACTAGATCTGTAGCTGTTGCTAATGCTGCTAATAGTCAAGGTTAAACAACTTCAAGTAGGAAGACTTCTGTGCCATGGAAGTAGGGCATTTTGATGTTGTCTTGTTCATTTTGACAAACAAAATTTAACTATGCATATTTTTGTATTGTTTTTTATTGAAAACAAACTCAGTTTTGCGTGTAACCAAACAAACTTGAATGGTTGTAATCAAACACGATTATGAAGTCTTCTTTTTAGTCAATTTTGTTATTGCCTTTTTAATTGTAATTGAAATATTTTTGAAGTTTCTCAAATGATTGTCACGATAATATAGATAAGAGAACCAAATACATTAACTAATTATTCAAATCATAACAATTTCGACAACAAAGAACAACAATAACTTGAACATTCAACAAATTCTATCCTTCAAGTTACACACACCTACAACTAGCAAGATCAAGACAATTAGCTTCTAGGTACACACACCTACAATTTCAAAAATTCGAAAGTAACTAAACATGTCTATGGCAATTTTGGTTGCACACACCTACAACTTCCATCCTTCACATTCTTGGTTAGAGTTAAACATAGAAAACACACAATAATGATCAAGACGATTAGCTTCAAGTTACAACATTTGCCCTTGTTTTTCTCCTTCATCATGACTTGGTTACTTTTAACACGACTTTCATAAGATCTCAAAACTTCTTCCAAATCCTTAATTCTCTTTGCTAATCTCGAAATAACATACTTGAATCGTATATCAACTTCTTATTGATTCCTCCAACTAAAGAAGTTGCACGCATCCTCTTAAAATACGCAATACACAAATTAAAGAAAAATACATAAACAAAAGATCTCCATAAAAGAATTAGTAAACATACATGATAGCGTGGACAAGACCAAAATCTTCGAGCTGGGTTATGCTCCGACTATGAAGTTTGCATTGATAGTAAGTCACCATGTTTGCATCGCAGTTTCACTCGCAACATCGGATCATTCTCATCATTACACATACGATTCAACATTACATTTGACATTTTCAATCAAAAACTAATCACAGAATTGAGAAGAAATTCAACCATAAAAAACTTCAAATTAACGTTTCTACTGGAAATTAAAAGAGAAAAGACGAATTCCTACCTTATTTTCTTGAGGAAGATGATGAAGTCGTCAAAAAGAGAGCACCAATATTGTTCTTGCCATGGAAATCAAAATTTTAGGGCTACCAACGGCTATTTTTGAGTTTAAATTGGGGAAGATACGAAAATTGATTAAATAATTAATATTAAAGAAATGTGGTTGTTTTAAACTGATAAATAAAAATAAAAAATTGCCCATGACGCGCCTAACGTGCGTGTAAACAACCCAGGTGAGTTAATAGGTAAAAATGGTCAATTTACAACGATATATAATTTTTTAGTGGGGTGATAGGACACTTTAAAAGTTTAGGTGTCTTTATGCAAATATGAGACAACTTCGATGGTGTCTTTATGTATTTTCTCTTTTTATAGATAAAAATAAGAAGCTAATCCAATCTCATACTTACAGCTTATTAAAACTGACAATTAAACTGCACCAACTTGTCTTAACAGTATAACTAACTTCTTAACTAATTCGTTGACTCCTTAACTAACTCTTTCATTCTTCTATAGATATCTAACACTAAGTGAAAAAAAATCAAAACAAGCCAGCTACTCTCATCCTATACTCTTGTCCCATGACAAGACGGTGGAGCCATAACTTAACGCTAATGGTTTTCTAATTTTGATCCTTTGAAATTACTGAGTTATAAATTAGTAACTTTTATATATTTTGAAGAAATTTTTTAAGATAAATACAAATTATGAATTAAAATTATTTACGATAATAATAGCATAATAACAATGTATTATTGAGATACGATTATTGCACCAAGAATTAAAAGAACAACAAGGACACAAATTTTTATGTGAAAATCCTTGTCAGTAAGGATAAAACAATCATGGGCCTGAGAGGGGCAGTATAATAGGGATAAAGATCTGGTCAAGTATAATTTAAATCAAGTAATGTTCAATAACCTTATAGATTTATGCCATGTGTACTATATAATAATATATGGTTGAGATCCATTTAAATTATATACTAATTTTAATAATAAAACAATAACAAAACCGTCAATTATTTTTATTTTTTAAAAACTATCAAATAAAATAATTAAGTGTACCCTAGCTTATATTTTCAAGAAAAAATAAGACTGGCGGGAATATGCAGACTTCATGACTTTTTTACCTGTCAAACCTCGTACTTATATTGAATTTTTTAAATTATTCTAATTTTAAGGAATTCGACACTTGTAAAGAATCTGAGTAAATATATTTTTATAATTATTCGAAAACCTCCAAATAAGTTTTTTTTAAAAAAAGGAACTATCATGGTATTCAATTGAATTACTATTTAGAACTCAATGATGCTTTTAAGTTTGATCTATTTTTGGAGATTACTTTAGAAGTTGGAGAAAACATGTGTGAAATTACTACGAAGAAGTTTGGCGGGTAAAAAATCAGAAATTTCGCATATTCCCGTCAATCTCAATTTTTTTCTTGAAAATATTAGCTTGATACACTTAATTACTTTATTTGATAGTTTTAACAAAATAAAAACTTGATAACTTTGTTATTTTTATTAGCTATTATTATAATGAGTATATAATTTAAATGAATCTCAATTATAAATTATTATATAGTACACATGACATAAATCTATAAGGTTATTGAACATTTTTGATCGGATCTTTATCTTAGCTATCCCTATAATAGAAATTGAAAAAGTTATTTGAGTGAGTAATTATTAATTTATTTATTACCATCTATAACAATAAGTAAAAAATACTAAGATAAATTTGTAAACAAACACATGACGACTACTTGAGTCACCTCCATCATCAATTGGTTGGTTGAGGATTCCATGTAGAATGAGTGGAAAATCCTGTCAGGGCGGAAAAAGAAGAAACAAATCACATAGCATATGTAGTGATAGTGAGTTTTACATTATCCAAAAAAAATAAAAAATTCCCTCACTTTTTTCCTCAATTTAGGAATGACAAGATCAAGTGGACCATTCTTAAACATTGTGATTACCAAAATCTCATTCCTGTGAATATGAGCTGGATCCATGTCATTTGGAAAAATCCAATCAAACCCATGGATCAAAGAAGCAACAACTAAGGGCACAAACCTGGAAGCCAACACACACTCTCCTTCCTGAACCACACGGAATAGACTTAAAATATCTCCCTTTTTGAATTGATAAATATTTCGAGTTTGAATCATCCCAATTCTTAGGATCCCTCGCATATGTGTGTCTTTCGGAATTCTGTACGGTGCAACCTTACTGTCTCCTTCCAAGTTTGGTAAGTCATATTAGTTTACAACATTATTTCATTGCGGAGTGTTTTTTTGAGGCAATTCTTACAAGTTGGACAGGACAAGCATCCATTCACTTGTAGCAGTCGTAGACTCTGTACCAACTCCAAATGTCTCCTGAAAAAATAGATAAAAACATGTTAAAAGTAAAACACCACAAGCAATGCATCCATCTGTGTAACCATAGAATCTATATTACCCGAAGAAGGCAGTATACTAACTCCACTTCTTCTGTCATGTAAAAAATTACAAATGTTATCAAACAAAACCATAAGTTTCTTAATTATTAGGGAATCCCGACTAAAAATGCGGATACAAATAATCTGCTAACTGCGGAGTAACAAACGTCTTTGTATACCTAACCATGCTTGTACCCTCTCATTCTTTTGCCTACACCATTTCCTTCATAATCCATTAAATCTTTTGAAAGAATCAAATTAAACCAATTGCACTGAAAGTTGTCACAGACACCACGCCCCCTTATCTTAACCACTTGACCTTGTTTAACAACCAAATGTTGCATCATTTCTGCAATTTTCTTCTACCTCATACTTACCTTAGCTTTTGAATTGAAAAGCTCTGCCCTAAATACTTTTCCAATAATCATCACATTTCTCAAGCTCTGCCCTAAATACTTTTTCAATAATCATCACATTACTCGGGTGAAAAATTGTGAAGTCTCCATCCCTGGACTCAGTATGAAGGAGAAAGGTATCGTCCTGAGAGCATACGATAGTTGGTTTTGAGAACCTCAGCAGCAACAACAGGGGATGAAGCCATGACCACGAAACGTGTACTGAACCTTATGGACATTAAATCAGGGGCATGAACTTGAGCTAGCTTTGCTAAAAGAGGCATGAGGACGTCTTCGGTCGACTTGGAAAATGTTTCCAATTAATGGCCATGAGAATGGAGCTGGAGGAAGTGGTAACTTTTTACTTAATGAAAATAAATACTTGAAAGTGATTACAAGGAAAATGTTCAAGTAAAATTGGAGTGTTATACTGAAAATGTCCTCCCCTGTTTTGGACATTATAGGATGAATTTCTTCTTCTTCTTTTTTTTTGGTGTGTTATACTGAATCTACGCAGCATCCATATAGAGAGAGAACTTCAAAGTTTTTAGTTTTAACTTGTAGTCATTTTTTAAAAGGAGAATTACGAACGTGATATATGTATATATGATAGATCATGATAATGTAAAATAATTATAATTTATAGCTATAGATAAGATTTTATAGCAAATTTTTCTCTGCTCTCTCATTCCACTGCCCTCTCTCTTGTCCCCCTGGCCCCTCTTTCTCTCTCTGTCCTAAAAATATTCTATATAATAGGATAATTATATTTTGTATTATTTATCAAATATATTTGTATTTCATATTAGTTATATTTGTATTATACATCAATTAAATATATTTTATATCAATTATTCTGTCAAGTCGATACAAATTGTGTTTATTAATACAATCGATACAAATTACAATATTATTTGATCTATGGTACAAATTAATTGTATTTATAATGAAATTAGAAACATGATACAACAAATACAATAGGATTCATGCTATCTGTCAAATGTATTGCGTATTATTTGTATTCAATCAAATCTAGCTAAGAAAATTATATTCAGACAACTATATTTTTACGTATCAATTGTATTTGTATTAATTGTATTTGTGATACAATGAATACAATATGCATTCATCCTCTCTCGCCTCTCTCCTCTCTTCCATGTTTTGCTCACCTCTCTCCTTTCCTCTCCTCTCCAGCTTTCGCTCGCCTCTCTCCTCGATATTTCAAATTTTGCTCGTCTCTCTCCTTTACAAATATAGAACTATAATACGTAATTAAACAAATTATTTTGTTATAGATCTTTAATTAAGTCCAAACTATATTCATTTTTTAAAACTCCTCTTCTTTAAATATTTAATTGATACTCAATATTTAGTAACTTGAAAAAGAAAGGAGTACTACTTTCCTTTGCTTGGTTCTTCTTCCTCTTCAACCTCCTCTTTCTGGATCTTGCTTCCGCTTCTTCGGTTCTTTTCTCCTATCTAGGATGAAAAATCATTCAATTTTTTCTCGATCAATTAATTTCGAATTCAAATTAGTTTTATTTTGCTTTACATAAAAACAATAAGTTTGATGGTGTCCAAAAGAATTAAAAACAAATGGGTGTTCCCTACAACAAATTAAGGATTTAGCGGCAATAATATCAACTATTAATGGCAATTGACGTTTTGACGGTAAAAATTGACCCTTTACCGACAATTAGTCTAAGCTTTAATGATAATTACTTTAAAAAATTTAAAAATATAACCAAAATCCTTTTGAATTAAATAAAATTTCCAAACATTCTCTATCCAAATTTTAAATGCTAGCCTTTAGATTCACCAAATTTCTCTCAAGTATCAGCACGCCTCCTTCCATGGCTACGTACGACGGATTCAAATTTTGATATCTCTTTCTCGCTAGTATTGTATACATGCATGTGCTATCAGCTAATGAATACATGCATGTGCTATATGCATTCATCTTCAATTTTGTAATAATTTGGTTTAAATTTGTTTATAAGATAAAGGAAGTTACTAGATCCACAAAGTGTTTGACAAAAAATCTAGAAAAAAGTTAATCTATTGCTTCTGACCAGGTATTTCTTTCAATTTTTAATTTCGTTTGTTGCAATGTTGGTATTGTTGGGTATATAGCAATAATTGATTGGAAATACAGGAAAAGAGAGGAATTGGAAAAGTTGAGAACTTAGAGTTGGCAAATTGAAAAGTCCTCTATGAAAAAGCATTCGTCCCTCATCGGTGGTGGAAAGAAAAAATAGGAGAGTTTAAATATAGAAACACTCCTATTAATTGTTAAAAGGGTTGGAAAGAGGGACCCCTCACACCGTCGTCGCTCATCTCGGCTTTGGCTTTGCCAAATAATTGACATTAATTACATGGCCAAAAATGTTTTGAATTAATTAGTTGATAACAAAAATTGAAAATTAACCGAAATGTTTCAACTTTTTAGTTGACTAACCCGACCCGAATTGGATCCGAGCGCGACCCGTTTTATTTAAATTTTCCGCCATGACTGTTGTAAAAGGTTGCAACTTTCAGGAATAGTCAGTACCATTTGAAAGGTTGCAAACTTTCATTAATGGTTGTGTGAATTCTGAAAAGGTTACAACCTTCCGGAAACTGTTCTTCTTGCCTACATATAACACTTATTCATCAGAATATTTCCTTACAAATTTCTAAGTCTCTTCTTCTTCTGCACTAAAATTTTCTTCGTGTACTTTCCTGTTGTTGATTGGTTAGCTGACACCAGAGTTTTTGGTATCTACACTCTAGTGATTGAGATCATTTTACCTTGGGAGGTCATATTTCAAATCAAACCTCGGATACTAGAGGGGAATAATTTCCTTAATGGGATACTGTGAGTTCAGTGGACTTGATCTTTTTCCTATTCAAAATTTTCTGGTACGTGTTTTTACAGATTTTAATTTATTCATTAATTGATTTCTGTTCATATTTTGTACTGATACTGGAAATTTTAGTTACTTCGTGTTTCTGCATAATTTTATCAGAATTAGTAATTCTATTTTTCAAACACAAAGTGGCAACATTCTTAAGGAAATTATTTTATTATATATTAATATGTGTTTCTAGTGGAGATAAAATCTTCGTGATTTTATACTCCTTCAAGTCTGCAATAAGTTATTGCTTACTAAGACTGTATCGATTTATGTTTATCAAAAATGATAAACAACGGTGTTACAATAGCTGTTACTGCACCAACCCGAACAGTTGTACCAAATACAGAGAAACCGAGTAAATTCACTGGTGCGAATTTTAAAGGATCGCAGCAACGAGTATTTTTCTGGCTTACCACTCTTGGTCTGCAGAAATGTACAAGTGAAGAAACTCCAATGTCTGCTGATGATATGCCAGACTAAGAAAAATTCATGATTATTGAAGCATGAAAACAGACAGACTTCCTATGTAAAGGCTACATTTTGAGTGCTTTAGAGAATGACTTATATAAGGTCTATAGTGCAATAACAAAGATAGCATCAATTAGGATGTTGATATTTAATTTAGAGTTATAATGTTAATAGCACTAGCAGCAGTGGATGATCATAAAATCCACCAAATGGATGTAAAAACAGCCTTCTTAAATGGAGAGTTAGAGGAAGAAATTTACATGGAACAACCTGAAGAGTTTATAGTTCCTGGTAAAGAAAAGAAAATGTGCCGACTTGTGAAGTCACGTTATGGACTCAAGCAAGCACTCAAACAATGACATATGCTAAATCTGATCAAACAATGTTGGCAAATGGATTCAAGATTAACGAATATGATAAATGTGTCTACACTAAAAATATTATGAATCATGAAGTCATTGTTTGTTTGTATGTTAATGACGTGTTAATAATGAGTAAAGACATTACGATATAAGTGCTACTAAGCGCATGCTGTCCAACAGTTCGATATGAAGGACTTAGGAGTTGTTGATTTGATCTTAGGGGTCAGGATTATCAAAACTTCCCAGGAACTAGCATTATCTTAATCTCATTAGATTGAAAAAGTATTGGATAAGTTCAAGTACTTGAATTTCAATGTTGTCGAAACTCCTATTGATTTAAGCTGTACATTTAAAAAGAATGAAGGTCAAAGTGACTCTCAATTGGAATATGCCAGAGTGTTGGAAAGTTTAATCTATATTATGAATTGTACGCGATCAGATATAGCATGTGCTATTAGTAACCTGGGTTGTTTCATTAGTAATCCGAATCAAACTCACCAGATGGCAATGAAACGTGTATTGGGTTATTTAAAATATACACAACATTATGTTTTGCATTATAATAAATATTCTGCTGTTATTGAAGGATATAGTGATGCAAATTGGATCACTAGGTCAGATAATGTAAAATTCACGGGTGGCTATGAGTTCATACTTTGTGGAGGAGCAGTCTCTTGAAAATTGTCCAAACAGACATGTATTGCTCGCTCCACAATGGAATCTGAATTCATTGCTTCTGATAAGACTGGTGAAGAAACTGAATGGCTCTGGAATTTCCTAGTGGATATTTCATTCTGGCCCAAACCTGTTGGACCTATTTTCATACATTGCGATAGTTAAGCAGCAATAGGTAGGGCAGTGAGCGTTATGTACAACAAGAAGTCTCATCATATACGACGGAGACATAACATAGTAAGACAACTGCTCTCTAGTGGAATTATCACAATTGACTATGTAAAGTCAAGCGATAATGTGTCAGATTTACTGACGAAAGGCCTAGTGAGAGAGGCAGTTGAAAGATCATCTAAGGGAATGAGTTTACGGCTTAGTACAAGTCAGCATGACGGTAACTCTATCTAGCAGACCGGAGATCCTAAGATCTAGATTCAAGGAGAAAAACAAAGTTGTGGCTGACGGTTTGACATTGTCAATTAACTCAATCCATTCTCATGATGAAGGCAATGTTCAGGAACAAGGAACAAGGTTAAGACTTTAAGGCTTGTCAATGAGGTTATAAAGCTTAAAGTTTTTAATGATTTGCTAAGTTTGGTAGATTTGATCAAATAGTGTATTTACGAGATGACACGGTTAGAAATCACCTTTGTGAATGTGAAGTGGAAGCCGCTTCAAAGAGAATTTTATGTCAAAAGCCTATTCTCGATACACTCATGAAATCAGGAGGTGTTCATGGTTGAAATGAACACAACCGTAAGACCCATAAACAGTAAAGGGTTAATGTCACGACCGGAATCTAGACCCCAGACGAGACCGGCGTCGTTGACCTCTCAGAGGTCGCAGACAAGCCTACGT